TTCATATTACCTTAGAACAAATTAGTTATTCTAAAATATATTATGATATTTTGTTTAAAATAATCAATTTATTTTAAAATATAGAAAAATTCTAGAGAAGAGAACCTCTTCCTGTTTTAAATACCAAATTATTAGACATATTACATTAATTAACAACTCATTAAATCATTAGCTCACCCTCCCTCTTCCGCTTCCTACCTATCTGAGTAAGAATTAATTAGTAATGCCAGATTTTTTTCTATTTTTCATTAAACATTTCAGACACACTCAGCAAGTTAATGTTAAGCAGCCTTTCATGAATCTCCGTCCAGATTAGCTGACGATCTGTAAAATAAATGAAAGTTCAGTAACTATTGTTTATAACATAAGATTGAGCTAATTCTTTAAAATTTTGTTAAGTTTAACCATTATATTCTGACTTTCGATATAGTACATTATATCAATTAATGCGTATCTGATTTAACATAAATAACGATTAACTATATATATCTCTAAGTTTAAATAGCATTTATAGTTACTTCGAATAATAGTGAGTATTGGATTCATGATGTTAGTAAAAAAACACGTAGGTTCGAGAAGTTTTGATAGAAATGAATAAAAGCCCTATAACCCGAGCGCCTTCGAAAGGTGGACCTTTCTTCCTCAGGAACAAACCAGTTTGCCCCTGAAGTGAGCATTGCATGGTATTCACATTCTTTACACATTGTGTAGCTATGCATTAAGAAAACAACAACACATTTTTCACCCATTGTGTAGATATGCATTAAAAAAAACAACAACACATTTTTTACACATTGCGTAGCTATGCATTAAGATCACAACAACACATTTTTTACACATTGTGTAGCTATGCATTAAGATCACAACACATTTTTTACACATTGTGTAGCTATGCATTAAGAAAACAACAACACATTTTTCACCCATTGTGTAGATATGCATTAAAAAAACAACAACACATTTTTTAGTTTTTTCTCATTTCAATAATATTTGAAATAATATTAGCCTGATTTAATCAAACCATTAATAACTAGAATTGTTGATAGAAGAAACTGATTTGCCCTTTGACTTGGATATAGCCTAGACATTTCGACCACCAAACGATACCACTCAAAGATGGCGATAGCTCCCTTCAGTGGGAGCAACCATTTTTTTTTACCTCCCTGGTAGTGGAACATAGCACAGCCACATTAATCATGATGAAAACAGATTGTTTACGGAGAGGACATCTCTAACTGATTCACTTTCAACAGACTATAAATCAAAGAATATCCCTGATGAATATTGAACGAATTGAGTTTATAGCCACACTACCACGTAATCATATTTTGGTATAGCTATCCAGCTTTTGTTGTTATTTTCATGTCATCTCAAAAGTGGGGCTATCTTTGATAGACAATAATCACCAAATAACAGAGAAAAAAACAAATTACTCATACAATAATGTTTACAATGCTTATTTCATCAAATGTCTAACGCTTTCATGCACATAATAAAAAGTTTCTTATTTCCGTGTTTTCTTTATAAGTTACAAAGTTTGTTTGTTTGTTTTGAATTTCGCGCAAAGCTACACAAGAGCTATCTGCGCTATCCGTCCCTAATTTAGCAGTGTAAGACTAGAGGGAAGACAGCTAATCATCACCAGCCACCGCCAACTCTTGGGCTACTCTTTTACCAGCGAATAGTGGGATTGACCGTCACATTATAACGCCTCCACGATTGAAAGGGCGAGCATGTTTGATGGGACGGGGGATTCGAACCAGCGACCCGCAGATTGCGAGTCGAGCTCCCTAACCACCTGGGCATGCCGGGCCAAAGCTACAAAGACTGATCAGTTTTTACAAATGTATTATTGCGAAATGTAGAGATATTAGTTTTCATCCTTAGTACCATTAATTCAGTGTTAATATTTTACAGAATCACGTCCGGTGTTACCCAATTTCATCTCTTCTTTTGCTTTCTACCACCAAGTAACTCAGCGGTAAGTTTGAAGGCTTTATAACACTAAAAATTAATTTTTCGATGGTGCACACAGTAGAGGTAGTCTTCGCTTTCCAATTGTATTTAAGACTTAAAATAACTAAAATAATATAGAGTTTGCAACTTAAAATAACTAAGATAACATAGAGTTTGCAACTTAAAACAACTAAAATAACATAGAGTTTGCAACTTAAAATAACTAAAATAATATAGAGTTCGCAACTTAAAACAACTAAAATAACATAGAGTTTGAAACTTAAAATAACTAAAATAACATAGAGTTTCCAAATTATTCGTTGTTCATTATCTGAATGGCATGGCCAGGTGGTTAGGGCGCTCGGGTCGCGGGTTCGAATCCCCTCAAATGTTCACCCTTTCAACTGTAGGAGCGTTATAATATGACGGTCAATCCAACTATTCGCTGGTAAAAGAGTAGCCCAAGAGTTGGCGGTGGGTGGTGTTACCTTCTAGTCTATCACTTCTAAATTAGGGACGGGTAGCATAAATAATCTTCGTGTAGCTCTGAGCGAAATTTAAACCATTATCTGAATGATGTTTGTCACTATATGTATTTAAAAGATGGATATATTTCACATTAAGTTTGTTTAATAAGGTCACAAAAACATTCAGAAATCTATTGCCACCAACAAACGGTTTGATACAAATCCAGCGTGGCCTTTTCTATAAATTTGTTAACTTTCGAGCATAGATACACGAAAACTTTCTCAGTTAACCGCCCTTAATTTTAAAGTGATAGAGTAGGGGAGAAAAAACTAGTCAACACCACCCACCGTCAAATGTTGGACTACTTTTATCAGGCATCACTCTTACAACGCATCTATGTTTTTTGGGTTTTTTTTGCTGTAACGGGACGCGAACTCTGAACCTCAGATCCACATTCCGGCAAGCTGACCACTGAGCAACATTTCCTATAAAATAATTTCGCTTGTTAATTTTATTTTTCATTAATATATTTTAATTGCAAATGCTTTGCAGATATAATTCATTGAATTTAAATTTAGTTGAGACTCTCATTTTACTTCGCTACTAATAGAAAATACTTGAACACTGGTTCGTAAATCCAAAATGCCAGTAAAAAAATAAAACAATTATATAACGATAACTATCTTTAACGTTCTGTGTTTGGATATCAAAAAGTAAATATGAAACTTCTTAAGTGTTTTCACATGGAGAATATTTTTACTTGATGTTGTATTGCACCCATGTACTTTTGTTATTTCTTTTTCGTGGAACTTCTGTTTTCTATTATTTGTTTCTGTTTATTATTGTATGTTCTCGTAAAGGCTTAATCTTAAAGCGCTAAGGTTTAGATTGACTCGTAGTATACAAAGATTTGGATTGACTCCGAGTATACAAAGGTTTCGATTGACTTCTAGTATACAAAAGTTTGGATTGACTCGTAGTATACAAAGATTTGGATTGACTCCGAGTATACAAAGGTTTGGACTGACTTCTAGTATACAAAAGTTTGGATTGACTCCTAGTATACAAAAGTTTGGATTGATTCCTAGTATACAAAGGTTTGGATTGACTTCTAGTATACGAAGGTTTGGATTGACTTCTAGTATACGAAGGTTTGGATTGACTCCTAGTATACAAAAGTTTGGATTGACTCCGAGTATACAAAGGTTTCGATTGACTTCTAGTATACAAAAGTTTGGATTGATTCCTAGTATACAAAAGTTTGGATTGACTCCTAGTATACAAAAGTTTGGATTGATTCCTAGTATACGAAGGTTTGGATTGACTTCTAGTATACGAAGGTTTGGATTGACTCCTAGTATACAAAGAATTAGATTGACTCCTAGTATACAAGTAATTAAAGAAGAATTGTTTTTACTACAATTAACTATTTCTTTTTTGCTACCCGTGTCTGAATAGCCAAGATGTCTTGGAATAATGATTCCTCAAATATACAAAAAAGAGGTTTCATAACGAATCCATGGGAATCAAGTTAAACGAACAATTTACTTATGGTGTGTGTTTTTTATTATTTTGTAAATCGGCGTAATAGTAACCAATATAAAAAAAATTACATATTGTCTGACATATTTAACACCATATTACTAATTTGTTTTACGTTGATTTTAGGTTTTCTGTATTATATTTTAATATCTAAGTTTAATCGAGAAAATGGTATTTAGGTCGTAATATTAGAAAGATATAGCGTATATCATATCATATTTGTTTATAAGATAAAATTAGTTTGAACGGGAAACTTATCTCATTCAAAAATTTTCTTTAATTCATATCGTAGAATCTCAAAATTTTATTTTTACCTGTGCCCCATAAATTTCATTTCTGCACGTGGGAAAAGGTCTCATTCTAAGCATTAGTCCACAGTTATTTGATTCTCTAAATTTGAGACCGGAAATAAATGAGTCTTCAAAATCAATACTTGTATGCTTGAAGAGTCCAAGAAGATGAAATATTTATATTTATTTACACATATATGTTTTTCACAAGTTGTCAGAAAATACAGATAATTTATAAAGCTACACATATATACGTACTGCTTTCTTCTTTAAGAGCTTAACAACAGAATTTTTTATGTTTAAATATACACGTAAAATTAATTTATACAAAATGGTACGAATTACAAACAACCTTTTAAAACTACACTTTAATTTATAAGATGCTGTCTGTTGTCCACTATTCTTTCCAATTCTGCATCATGGTCACTGAAACAATAAAATGGTATATAATATAACAAATAATGGCATAGCATCAACTACAGTAAAATACTATTTGTAGACACATAAACATACTGACAAATAGTCTACTATATAATATAGTAGACTACATAATATAACAAACAATGGCATGGCATCAAATATAGTAAAGTACTATTTGTAGACCCATAAACATCCTGACAAATAGTGTACTTCGAATCGGACGGTGAAAAGGGGGAATGGGTCTCGAATACGTGATGTGCAGCAAAAATAAACTGTTTTCATACACTGCAGTATCCATCACTAAAACTAGCTAGAGCAATCAAAATGCAAGTAATTTTCAATAATTCTTTAGACTTCTCAAGAAACAATTATAAAGGCAATGTTGTTAACTAAGAGATGGGAATTAATTTTTATCTTAAAATTAAAATTGCCGTAAACCTGAAGTTCTTAAAACATCTTAAAGCTGAAAACAACCTATAAAATTTATAAAATGACATTCTTTCATTACTTTTGTAAAATGCATACATCTGTAGGCTAAATTCTAATTTTCTATGTTACTCATTGGTTATGTGAGGTTACCAATACTGTAGAATTTGTCTTCATCAACCTTCCAAACAAATTCGGTGTTTTTGCCAGAAAATTATCATGTTTGCTAAGCACAGTAAATTTTCTATGCATTCAAACATATTTCGAATTTGCATACTAATAGCCACTTAATCAGATACCTAAAGCTGAAACTGAATATATATATTCTGAAGTAATAGCTTATGCAAATTAAGAAAGCGATGTTTTTCTTACAAAGCATTAACAGAATTAAGGAAAATTAACACCTAATTCCGCCGCACGCTATGCCAGTTTCTTCGACATTAACAACTTTAAAGAAAAAAAAATCTAATTAACTTTTATAGAGTTCTAATCTAGCTTCTAGTTTTTCAATTTTGCGATACTTAGCGATAACTTCAGTAGAATCGTATCCTAATGGAGGTTTTCGTCGAGGGGGTTTTAATAGATTCGGTAATCAGTTTGGTGGCGGATTTGGTGTTGGCAAAGGAAGAGGATCTGGTAGTGGCTACGGTGCCGGCTTTGGCGGTGGATATGGAGGTGGCCAAGGTGGTGGAGGTGGTGCTGGATTTGGTGGATATGGAGATGGCCAAGGAGGAGGATCTGGTAGTGGATTCGGTGCCGGCTTTGGTGGTGGATATGGAGGTGGCAGTGGTGCTGGATTTGGAGCTGGTTTTGGTGCTGGAGGTAATGGATTTGAAGGTGGATTTGGGAACAACAACATTGGAAATAGAAAATATTAAACGAGTTTTGAGCACTGGCAGTAAGTTTAATATATTCATTATTGAACACGACGACTAAAGCAAGAAAGAGTGATGTTTTGGTATCCATCGCAGGGGTTTATCTGAAAGATCAAACATTTAAAACATGTAAGTAACGGGTGTGAAATTGGCTAAAAATATCATTTTAAGACACCTTAAATGCAAGTCTTATACTTGTTTATTAAAATGGAAGCATTTTTAAGGAAAATTATGTTTGATATTTACCGATCTCTCTTAATATTTGTGGATGAAAAATTAATTGTCTTTCCAATTTTGTTATTAAAAAATTCCACGTTCTAATTCTTATATTCCCTTACAATTGCTCACATATCCTTTATTTAGAAGTTTCGGTGTAACATTCGAGAGAATGAAATGTTTACTTTAATTATTCGTACAACACAGAAGTATTTCCCTTTTTTAAACAAGAATATTCGATGGAGGATGGTGCAGAAGCATCGATTTACGAACATGAAACCCACACATTGTTATTTATTTGTTAAAGTAGAATCCAGGCTACAAGTACGTTTACAATCATTTCTGAAACAGTGGAAAATATAGCATATAAACTCATTAAAATATTATGTATTATTATTCATTAGCATAGAATTAAATCTATAAGGCACTAGTATTGTAAGCATGATATTTATATATCCAGTACACAACAGATTAAGTTACCATAATATTTTTTTGCAATAAGATGGATCAAAAAATGTTCCTATGTTCACAATTACACGTTTCAAAGCATGTAAAGCATTTAAATTTGATTTTAAAAGTTATAATAGACGTAACTCGATGAAAACTGTGCCCTAATTTCAAATTAACAAACGTCTTCACAATAATACTTTTTCTCATAATACAACCTCAATGATTTCGAAATATATTTTACAAATCTTGTTCCTTTATGCTTATTTAAGATTAATTTATTTTCTGAGTTATCTAGCATGAGTTTAAAACTCACTAACTAGTATAAGTTAAATACTAACTAAATAATTAACTAACATGAGTTAAAAAACCCACTAACTAATTAACTAACATGAGTCAAAAACTTACTAACTAACTAATTAACTACCATGAGTCAGAAACTTACTAACTAACTAATTAACTACCATGATTTAGAAAACTACTTTTCTCTTACTTAAAATTGTACTCTATGAACTTGAAATTATCCTTTATGCAGGTTGCGATGTGAAAGAAGAGTTCAGACTTTGTTTTATACATGTAAACAACAGTAGTTAAATCTGGTGTATTCCAAAATAAAACTTGGGATTTTCCATCTCAAACTTATCCATACATCATTGAAAAAGACGGAAGAAGTTTCCGGGAGACTCAGTTTGATGGGGATTTTAATTCATGGGCTTTTCCCACTGTCCCTTCTTTCCTCTGGACATAAAGCAATAGCTACGTCATTTATTATCATAAGTGTAGTCTCACCTTTGAGGGTGGGGAGAGGGAGTGGGGAAAAAAGAAGATGATGTACAAACGGCTGGTTTTATTTTTCTGTAGGCAGTATTGCCTGTACGTCATGACGTAGTTGGAGGCCAGAGTTGGCCACTCACGTCAGAAGGATAGTTGCTATTTTCTTGTAAACATTAATTCATCTCTTAGCTTCACAACAAAACATGAGCGATTGTGATATTTTCAGCATTGAATACTACCAAAAGAGTATCTTGTAAACTAGTATTTATAAATATTATTGTCAATGAGTATATGTATGCTTTTACCTCATAACTTCAAATTATAACTGCATTGAGCAGTGTTGTATTTGACTGCTCTGGTTGCACGAGGTACAATAATACCTCTTAAATTCGTTTTATATTGAATGAGTTTATTACCATTCTTACTGTGAAGGCACTTGCATGTTTCTTCTGCTAGTCACGTTTTTAACTGTTATTTTACCTTCCCTTACAGAATCTGTTGGTTCTCTTTGAGTCTTATATATATAACTACCAAATCTTTCAAATGATGAAATCTTATTTGTAATCAAGTGACTAAATTTTATTTTAGATTCGTCGACAAGTGGCCTGAATATATTTCGATTAGATCCAATCTGTAGCCCCCTTTTTTTTTCTGAAAACGAACAAATCAAATACCTTGTAGATGAAATTTGAAAAGAAGCTTGAGATAAAATACATACAACAAAGTGATAGTGAAAAAAAAGGTGGGCATGTTGGAGAAAACGAACTGCAAAGTAGACGAATCAATAGAAAAAACCTTCGTTTTCTTTATCGTAAAAACAACGAGTTTTATTCTTTGTTTTTCAGGTGTGATAAAGTTTTACTTCAACCAGCAGTAGACGTGCGTATAAGGTTGTTGCAATCTTCTACATTATTACCAATTAATTAACATAATAATAAATTTTATATTAATTATCAGTTAAATTAACATAACAATCAATTTTATATTAGTTATCAATTAATTAACATAACAATCAAGTTTATATTAATGAATAAAAATTGATGAAGCTTCAATAATTAACACATATAATAATTGAGCTTCAGCGACTGATATATTCATTAGCTTTAATCATCACGGTGCAGGGTGGCTCCAAAGTGACAAAATTCTGATGTGTTTTATATATATATATAGTCGACCAATTTAGGACAAGGAAGGTAAGTTAATTAAAAAGGAAAATAAAAGTGAAGTTAGACTGCGTGTGAGTTTAGCCTTAACGGGCGATTTTTAAAGTGAGTATCACATTCTTGTATTGTAATAACAGAGATAACAAAGAAGAAGAATTTGCCTTATCAAAGGGTGTTCTAAAATAACTGAACCCGCCTGTGTGGATTTTGACAAAAAGGAAATAATTATTTAAAGTTCTTGATACAACTGTGTAAACCAATAGTGTTTTGTACATACGTTTGACTTATTTTGAATATATTATTTTAAAACAAGTGTATTGTGTGCTGTTTGTTTATTGCTGAAATTTACCGCCAACAAGTCACAGACACCTACTGTAAAGAATCCAGTCCAATAAAATATTGACACGCTTTAACCCACACTCTGGAGTTGTGTCTCGTGAGAAGCCACTATAAGTTCTTTGAGTATTCTTAATTTGAATTAAAAATCCAACAAGCTTGTTTAGATATCAGTAGAAATGTGTAAGGAGTAGAGTCGTTTCTTTATACTTACCCTGATAAGGTATGAACTGAATCTTAATAGTTTGTATTGTAAAAAATGAGAAATGCTGATATATATTATCGTTAAAAAGCAGCGTGGATTACTTCCAAGATCACCCGAACGTTTAGATGATTTCATGGATTTTGGAAACAGTTGGGTAAATCAGAGACCTGTGGTAAATAGTTAAACACTTCAGTTCCGTTTCTTTATAGTTTTATGTTGTCAGACCTGTGGTAAATAGTTAAACACTTCAGTTCCGTTTCTTTATAGTTTTATGTTGTCAGACCTGTGGTAAATAGTTAAACACTTCAGTTCCGTTTATTTATAGTTTTATGTTGTCAGTTTCTTTGTTATGTTATTGATTTTTAACTACATAATCTGTGACTGGACGACAGTGAATTGTACAGTCACATGAATCTTGGAAGATTTGAGATTTATGAAAATCTCCTTGGTTTCATTTCCTCTATGTGTGTGTGTTTGTACAACATAAAATAATATTTAGGGATTTCTCATTTCTACCTGCTTCTAACAAAAGAATGACTTCTGAAATAGCCTAGATTCGATCATCTTTATGATTCGATGATTTTTACATATATAAATTCATACTTTATTGAACGTTTGTAAAACGTCATAAAAATTATACATCGAATTTTTTTATTAACTTTTAGTTCTCTTCGCATCGTGTTATCAGAATATGTTAAATTTAAAATGGATGCTGTTGTTAGTAGATAAGTGTTTACTCCTACTTAATGGATAATGGTAATTACAGGAATTTATTTACATTTGATGAATAATGATAATCATAGAAATTTACTAAAAATGATGACTATTTACTCCTATAAGATGAGTCGTGAATCAACATACATATATGGGGGGGGGGGGGAGTGTCTCATCGAACACATAGCAAGTTATCCCTAACGTATAATTATCTACATAAATGCTACCTACTCATGTGCCTGGTTAGATGTGACGTATCTTTTTTGATAATGTTGCCCACTTTTTGATCATGTTATAAATCCTCACTCGTTCACTACGGGTCAACATTCAGTTGTAATTATAATTATTTATTGAAAACTCAGTGAGATAACGTTAGAATTTACACAATACTTTAAATACATTTTATTAAAGGCACTAAGCCTCATCTAACAACGTCTTACAGATTTCGATGGGTCACAAATCCACCATCATCAAGAAGAAGAAGGCAGTATACTTTTAACGTACATACTTTTCCAATTTTTTGACTAATGGAATAAAACTTCCATCAATTAACATCTGTTACCCGCTTTCAACACCCACCTCTTAATGTCCTTACATACCGTTTCACATTATTAATTAATTGACGGCCATTGGCCGCAGAGGTGTCTTATGGGATGAAGTTGTAAGGTCATGGGTCAAAGTAGGAAGTGGGTATAACTCAAGAAACGGCTCTTCATATCAGCGTTATGGTGACTGTTGCTGTATCAGATTCATCTGAGTTTATGTATTATTGCAATAGTGTCGGCCATTTTTTACATTGCATTCCTCAAGGGCCCGGCATGGCCAGGTGGTTAGGGCGCTCGACTCGCAATCTGCGGGTTTGAATCCCTGTCAGACCAAACATGATCGCTCTTTCAGCCGTGGGCGCGTTATAATGTGACGGTCAATCCCACTATTCGTTGGTAAAAGAGTAACCCAAGAGTTGGCGGTAGGTGGTTATAACTAGCTGCCTTCTTCCCTCTAGTCTTTCACTGCTAAATTAGGTTACGTTAGGTTATTCTATAGTTGTGCTATTCGGGGGGGGGGGGGAGTTAAGATATCCTAAGTCTGTCTATTTGTTTACTGAAACAACAAACTCGTTAACTTTTTAATGTTAGATTAGAAACAGG